GATGAAAATATAAAAACTTTCCTGAATCTTAATCATTATGAATATTCTTTGCTATCTGAAGTTACCATACGTTTTAATTATGTGTATTTAAAAATGATAACTCTACTTACAAAGCAAAAAGGAATCCTAGGAGAGGTGCAATAACGTTAATTTAAATGCTAATGCCAATCAAAGCAACATCACGTTTCTCTAGCTTTCCCTGTAGATAAAATTGCGTACATTTGGTTGAAAAGCTTACATTTTTCTGCATTGTGGATACATTGCCTCATGCAGTATCAGTAAATCTCTATTTTATTTTAGACTTAAATGAAATTTGAAATATGACTTGCAGTTTTAGTTGGAATCCATTTCTTAGGCTTAAGTAAAATGTTTACTGAACATTGGAGAAGACAGAGCATTTATCAGAAACTTGAAATCCCTTCTTGTGGTACAAGCTCTGAGCCTGTTTCTGCAAGCATGTGAACACAGTGTATACTCTCAGTGTGGTCAGCAAAAGAGGTATATACAGTGTTTTCAATGTCAAACTTACCAGTAACTTCCCCCTAATTAAACTAAACCATTTCTTGACGCATCTGTAATCCATAGGTGTTCTGTGCATTACTCCTCATCAGGAATGTTGGGGGATGCATTCTGATTTTTAATGTTCAATGCTAGAATGACCAAACTAAAATAATACTCATATGGTAATCTAAACTGTTTGAAAAAGTAGAATTGCATTACTGTATACAGTGGAAAGCTATTTATTGTACCTCTGGGCTTATTCCTCTAAAAATCGTAGCGTAAAAAAAATCTTTGTCAAGCCTGAACTGATGTATATAACTGAAATAATGTAAAGTTATATTTTCATGTTTTTATACTTAACAACATGATGGGAATACATAATGTATGAGTATTTCAATTACAGATAATATTGATTGGATAATACACATCTCAGTTAAAAAGCAGTAATCATAGTTTAATATTTTTGTTACAGTACATCAGTATATTGCTATATAAAGTATGTCTGTGTGCATTTAAGTGAAAAGTAGTCAAGAGTGATGAAAGCTGTCCAAGGGTTTTTTATTCATTTTATATGAAAACTCTTATGGAGCAACCAAAATGTTTATGAACTCAAACTTGTGTAAATTTCAAAATGTCCTTTTACTGTAGCTTTTTGTTTACAGTACAGTATCTTATTTTCTGCTTTGTTAAATGAGTAACGGTACAAAGCTGGACATACACTTTCTAAGACATTAACGTTCCCGTTTTTTCATGTATACCTATATGACAGAAAATGCTTCTGATTTTATTTTTCAGTCTAACACATGATGGCTTTTCTGGAGTGTTGTATAAACTTCAATCATACATAAAAAATCTTCTTAAAAAAGGCAAAAGACCTTTAATGTCTGTTTAGTATTATTGAAATCTGGTTTCTTATTTATTATAAATGTATTTTCCTAAGATTTTACATAGAGCAAACCTGTTTGTCCCCACAAACATGAAATTTCTTTGAAGAGTTTTGCAAGGAGAATATAAATCTTCCCACAAATCGTCTTGTCACTCTAGGGTAGATTTACTGTAGTTTGCGTTATCACTAAACGAAGTAATGTAACTTTCTTGCCAACAATATAATTGTATTTCTGGAATGTAACCTTCTGGATCATGGTTATAATGGCAGTGTGATAAGATGATAATGCTAGTAGGTTAAGTATCTATTCAGTAACTCTACTTAAAAATTGTCACCTTGAATCAGTAGTTTTTTACTTCAACAGATTGTTGATGTGTCCAAAGCAGAGAAAGAACCTGAGAAATGGCAAGTATTTTAGGTATATATTAGTAATGTCGCTACTAGAGATTTAGTACAACAAAGAGTTCGCTGTAATAGCAAACAAATTGAGTCTGAAGAGGCTTGCAATGTGAAAGGTTCAACATTTTTATTTAAATGTATTGCACATTTTAACAGAGTGTGTTTCAGGGGTATCGGCCTCCTCTTTGGCTGACAGATGTAGACAATATCTTTACACGAAGTACCGTGCACAAATAATTGTATGTAAAATACAAATACATGATTTCAGCTATCATTTGGTACAGTTAGTTATATGAATACAGTGGTCACCAGCAAAACAGAATCAGCAGCAGCTGTTCTGCATGATATCCCTAGAGGCTACTCAGACCTGTTTCACAGTACCAAAGTTTATTGTTTATTAAATCTTTTCATTTAAGCTGTCATGGGATCACAAAAATTTGCTGTGAGACATCTATCAGGTCCAGATTATCTTAGGAATTCATATTATATCAAGCACTTAGAATAAAATTCAGACTGAGCTGTAGACTTAACTTTGAACGTTTTCCCTAGCATCAGTTTTTGTAGATAACGGAGAGTACTATATACCTATGTGAGACATAATAGAGTTAGGGAATTGTATACAGTAATGGCACCTATGTGACAAATTTCATTCAATCTGTGCCTACTATTGGTCTTCCTGAAATTTCTGCTCATACTGCTCCTAATAGTCTAAACTTCAGGGCTTCTTCAAATAGGTTAATGGTAAAATTGCCCTAAAATTGTTCTTTTTTCTGTCTTGAACGGTATCTTTTCTCTCTCCCCAAAGAAGAAATTTGGTAAGAATGTCTACATCTAATATCTGGGGACCTACGGGAACTGATAACAGCTTCATAACAAAGAGTCTCAATTAATTCCTACTTGCATTTAGTAGGTGTCAACTCCTTGTATCCTGAAGTAACTGTAATATTCGTAATGCATCTTGTTTTTAGAGATTTCCTTAAAGTAGTGAATATCACTTTGATGATCACAACTTCAGTTAGAGTCATTTAGTGCTTTAACATAAAATTTATTGAATTGATATTCTTTGGAAAAAAGAAATCTTTAAATTATGATTTTTGTAAACAAGTGGCAAAAAAAAAGAACATGGTAAGATACAATACAAAAATGCTGAGAATTACAGATTAACTCACCTGCAGCTTTTACATGTCATGAGGCCTTCCCACAGTCCCTAATCTTATCGTTAGGGCATATTACATGGTGAGCTTTCTT